TTATTAACAAAATCGATTTATTTAATTTCCCATTGGAGAAGCCGACACAACTGAACCAAAAATTGTAATTGTAAATGATTGAATTTCGGACAAATATATACTAAATTTTGTATACAAATAAAAAAATACCTTACGTTCTTAGGCAAACAAAATTAGATTTGAGACCACCTTTAGACACTTAGACAATTTGACAGAAGTTGTCCCAACATGGGTTGTATTATTCACAACAAACAACCATACTTTTTTTTTCTGACAAAACACATAATAATTGAATTTTATTTCGATTTCTTCTTGTAAAACAGAGATAAAGTGCTCAGGCTCTACTCAACGATTAACATAAAAAAATGAATAACAAAGTGAAAATAAATGGGGAGTGAAAAAAAAAGTGAAATGACGTCTGTAAGTACCAACCGTATACATCCGTCAATCGGACAGATTTTGTGCTCATTTCTTATCTGTACATAGCAATTGGTTGGTTTTAAATATTTAGACACAAGCTGAACATTGCAGTGCAAAATATTGTGTTGTCTTTTGGGATTTGAAATTAATAATATAGAAAATCGCAAAGAGTTTCGATTTAGCGTGACTCGACCAGTAGTGATGTTGTTTTTGTAGCGGTAAAACAAATGTCATCGAACAAGCATACCTAGCTGAGACATATTTATGGATCAAAATCCAATCCGCACGTCTACTTGACCAGAGAGTTAACACATGTTGTGTGCTAAAATCGTTCAAATGTATATCAATTGTATCCGTGTGCTGACCTCCCAATAATAATGAATCGTTTCATGTAGACTGTCTACAGTAGACAATTAGAACTAACAACGAATCAAGCACTTTTTTATCATACAAAAAATCAGAATAGAAATTTAATGCCTATTATTTGTTGTTTTGTCGTAATCAGAACGTATTTTTGCCGATATTTAATTTTTTGGTTTTATATTCTTCATGGTATTGATACACTTATTGTAAAAAAAAAACAAGTCGATGGAAACGAGTTTAGTTGTTCGTTTTATGATTTAGAAACTTTTAGTAATCAATAGCAAATTGGTAATATTTTTGGTCATCTTTAATAAAATGAAGAAGAAAAAGCGATTTGTTCTCAAAAGTTGTGTACAGTGTCCACCTGAATGAGAACTAAATATTACATATAAACAGTACAAAACTAGACAATTGCGAACAAACCGAGCATATCACAGCATAAGATGTTTTATAAAACGCAGTTTGAATGTGTTGGCAAATGAATTAGTTATACACAATAACTCGCTGGAAAATCTCATTTCGAAATTGTGTGCTGGCCTTTTATGTTTTGATGATTTGATCGGTTCGGTAAAAATAGAACGATGCAAAAACGGTACGATTGAGAAAAGTTCGTAATATATTTCACTCCTTCACATATTTTGAGAAAAAAAAAATCCATATAATCTAACTCACACATATAGACACATCATACACGAATATATAGTCAATGTTCAACTAAAAACATAGATGTAATGTTGAAATAAAAAAAATGCATGTTGTAACATTTGAAGAGGTTTTTAAACCGAAAGTGACAACAATTGTATGAGAGCATATTATTATTCAAGAGTATTCTTTTTTCTATTCGAAAAAAGTGGAAAGTGGAAGTTTGAAGTTTTTTTTATGGAAATTAAAAATATTCATACAATTAAAACCAATGACATGTATCACGATTGTGGTTGTGTTTTTGAGCAGAATTAAACCCTTTCACCGTAGAATGAAGTGTAAGCGTTATTAGAACTTTAGTGAAAAACCAAAACCAAACAAACTACTCTATATATATATATATTGATTTGGAACTCAATAAATGGAAAATTTAGATACATATACTCACACATCCCACGATTAAATGAATCACATTATGTTAAATAGTTAAGACACATGTTGTACATATTTGAGATGGAGAAAAAGGAGAAGAAGTGACATAAAACCTACAAAAGTATTAATAAATTAAATGCATTCACTTTAGATCCTTTATACACATATATATTTATCGGATCCAAAAAGTCTGAATGCTTAGATCGTAATACTACTATTTAATGGCTATTAAAGAAAAAGTAAAGAAAAAACCAAACAAATGATAAAACAAGAAATCTATTTCCAAATGGAAGCGCTTGGTCGATTAACTTTGGGTATATACATAAAGTATGAAGTTTGTGTGCTAGAGATGCAACGCTGAAAAAAAAGGTAAATGTTGAGAAATCATAGAAAAAAAAATAAATATTTGAAAACAAAAAAAAATTGTATCGTAAAGAAAAAGTGTTTCAAGAAAAAAGTATTCAAGAGCATACCATGCATAGACATTTAGTATTTAATACTAGACATAGACATAAACTTACAGTTGATCAATGTTTGAACTAAATAAAAGCATACTCTATCAATTCATTCACTAACTGGCTTACATTATTCACTGTAAGTTGTAAACTAAACTACTATATTATCGGTGTAGTTAGCTTGTCGAAATGTATTCTGTTCTGTTTTTTTGACCTATATATATATTTTTTCGTCTGTAGTGGTAGGCATATTTTATTGACAAAGACAAAAATAGAAAAAAAGCAATTTTTCGACTTGAAAAGTCACATTGTCTATGAAGGACACTCTGTCCACATCTACATTCTTGATATATTCTTCTGTAGCCCTTATTCTTCATTCACGATGGTTTTTTTTCTTACAAAAACAAAAAAATGCACCAAACTCCGGTGTGCGACGTTGAAGAAGAAGTCATTTTCTCTTCACGACAAGGAGCGAAGAACCATGATTCAAACGACATATTCTCTTGGACAATACTATTTTCTAATTAAATGATAATATGAAAAGAAGCAAAGCAAACAGTATTTAGTGTGGAAAATTTCATGGAGCAAAGTAAATGCACACATTATATCACAGTACATGGTTGAGATGAATTGACAATTTGAATGCAAATAAAATACACCATTTGATAAATGCATGCTCACATTAAATTTAAAGCGGCACGCGCTGTCATTGCGTGTGTGAATAGTGTTAGTGCAGTATTTGAATAGATGCACCACTAAACCAAAACTAAACCAGACAAAAAAAACATTATTATACATTTAAAAGAAAAAAGCATATATCCAAATCATAAGCAATAATTGTTGTTGTACACGTAATTAACAAGTTGATATTTAAACACACCGAACATCCAAAATGAGCTTGATGTAAAAACAAAACCATACAATATCTTTCTTTGGTTCTCTTCAAACGGTTTTGTCATGAAACCAAACTCATATTTGTTTGTCGATGTAAGTGATTGAGGCTGATGCATAATTTAGAAGCAATCGAACATACACAAAATAGTTCATTGCATCGAATCTTTCTCTCTGTGTCTGTGTATGGCTGATTGATATTTTCATTCATTTTCTGCAGAGGATGAGCAAAGATGCGCCATTAACACCATTGAATTCTATAATTTGCGTTTCCTTTAGATCGGTCTTTGGTTTATATGAAGGCAGAGTACATTTAGAAATAAATCAATTGTGAAAAATAGATTGTATTCTTAAGTGTTTTTAAAATCAATAGAAACAAGCTTGTAGATTTTGTGCTGTAATTTCCGGTTTATTTTCAATTTTCTACCCTAATTTTTGTTTTTCATTTCTTCTTTTTTTCTTCTATAAAAATGACAATAAAAAAAAATCGTAGAATTGGTATTTCCATTGGAATTCCATCCCAATTTTACTTTCATACGTCAATTTTATAATATTAAAAAATTATTCACATTTTCAGTTCACTTCCATTCGTTATCTTTCGTTTTCGTTTCCAAAATGAAAAATAAACTCTGTATTCGAATAACCCCATGTGTTAATTCACATTATCATTATCTAATACAAAACCCAGCAAAAAAAAACATTACGAAATATAAAAAGTAATACTTTGAAAATAAACATTATAAATATATATATATTTGTTGTAGACAGAGATATGGTAGTCAATAAGCAAATAGTAACAAAACTAATAATGTTTAAATATATGGGAGAAAGCAACAGTTTGTTCTCTGATACCAGCAACCATACAAGAAAATCATTATTTGTATAATGTAGTCATTCACACACACACACATACACCATTATGTAAATTATAAGCTAACCTTTCAGATTTAAATGGTTTAACAAAAATCATTGAAATAAAAATTTGACCGAAAAATCCAAAATTTCCTATTCGTTGGTGATTTATTATGTATGCTTTGAAGTATATTTCTGATTTAATGTAGAAAAGTGGATGATTGAAGAAGATGGAAATTGTTGGCATTTTCAATATATGGAGGAAGAAAAAAATCTCCATTTAAATGGATGAAACATTATCCGTTACACTACAAATAAAAATTCCATTATTTTGCCGACATTTTTTCTCTACTTCTGGCCGCTTTGCTTGTGCTCAAGTTGATAATATTGAAGAAGAAAAAACACAAAAATAATAATGACTCAACCCATAAACATATTTTTCCCGTAGTTATTTTGTAAACATAGCAATAGTAGACAGTCCAAAAAAAAGTATCCCAATTTTAAGTAGTTTTTCGTTTTGTAAGTTCACTTTTTGGTACATATAACATTTTGACTAAAGGTACCGTAATCTAATGGCATTTACATATAATTTGATTGCCAATTACGTTGGGATTGATTTTCCCATTGAAAATCGATTCCCTTAGAAATTATGACTTTTAAGTATATTTTATTTGGTTGCACACTGTTCACAATCATATGACTTATTTTTCGGATGAAATCACATTTTATTAAGTAGACTAAAATGCACATAGAAGCGATTCGAGCAGATGTGAATCCGTTGTAATTCTGTTTGGCAAAAAAATTGACTCGAAAGAGGATTTGGTTCGTGTTAATCGAATGACAACATGAAAACACAATCGGTTTTTTTTTGTCAACAATCTCTATGTGTGAATTAACTGTTAGTTAGCTATTTATTATCCATATACCATTTAAATAGAAAAAAAAACAAATAACAACAACAATAACTTTGAAAAAAATGATGCATAAACAGATAAATTTTATTAATTAGCCATAGAATATATATATGAGAGAAATAAAAAAATCTCACTTATTTCGTTACCTAATACTCTGCAACACTAACTGAATAAAATAAAATAATCAATTTTCATTTCCGTATTGGTACCAAAAAAAAACTGAATGCGTATTTTAATTGATTTGTTTTGTTTCACTCATAGACATTGATTATTCTTTCTTACTCTACGTGTGCTCCCCCACACCTTCGCCTGTTTTGTTTACATTTACAATTCTTGTTGTCTTATAGATGTGTAGTTTTTCGACGTAACTAATTTTCTATGCTTTCTCATTTTTATTCTCGGAATAGATTGATTCAAATCAAATATATATTGTCCTTGGTTTAATTCATAAAATTGAACAGTTTCGATTACGTAGAAGTCTTTTGACGTTGTAATGATCACACAATTTTTTTTTCGATAGATTTCTCTTTACTTCATATATACATTTTTTTTTACAAATATTTTCTTCTCTTTTGGAATGGCATGAACACATCAACACTCTACTTTGTAGAGTCTACACTAATGACTGTAAATAATCTTTATACTAATTGAATTAAATTGCAAATTGGGTGGGGTTTCACGAATAAATATGGGTAAGTTATACGGATTTGATACCTCGTTGGAACTAAGGCACTTTTTACATAACCATAATAAACATTTGAATAAAGTCAATAAAAAAAAGAAACAAAATATATTGTATTTTTTGGATGAGTGTGAATGGGGTTTGAAAAAAAATGACGAAAGAAATTATCTGGTATCTTGTTATGCGATACGATGCTTATGGTTTTAGTAACTCTTGTCGGTATTATGTTAGCTGGCTGAAATTTTATGTCTTTTCGGACTTGATACAAACAAGCTCTTATCTACTTCAACGAAAATACTTTGTCACTTTGAAAGAAACTATTATTTTTCAAGCAAAATTCCATGACGCGCAGCCAATTTGGGTCGAGTTTTAAAGTGTGTGGGTCACCGATGATCACAACCAAACATTTGGCTCGAGTAATCACCACATTCAAGCGCCTTGGTTCACCTACAAAACCCAGTTGACCATTCGAACGTACCGTTGAGATGATCATCACCGGCTTTTCCTTTCCCTGAAATACTTCAGCTGTTCCAACGGTCACTTCGTCGAAGTTTAGATAACGTAATTTTTGAGCCAAACGATGACGTTGTTTGCGATACGGAGTGACTATGCCAATGTCCGTTTGAGTAATTTTTCGCAGCCCCTTTTGCTGTGATCCCTTTGGCAACAATTGTTTGATCACTTTTATGACCTCCTCAATTTCTTGATCGTTGTACCAACTGAATTCGGTAGATTTCACACATGAACCCTTCACCGATTTAAAGACGACTGGAAACTTCTTCGAAGGTAAGAAACGTGAATCGATGTACCAGTTAATGTTTTCTAGATGAAAATAACGTACGAATTAGTATGAAACGGTCATATGGTAAATACAAAAAGAATATTACTTTCTGCTGCACAAGCCTCGAGTTTATTCTCATAGAATAGCTCATTTGGAACGCTAAGAATATGCGGATGCGATCGATAGTTCTTAACCAATTGCGTAATGTACATCTCGTTGAATTTGCCAGTTGTAGCGTTGCGTGTATAAAGGTTTGTACAACATAACTGTTCCAACCACGATGTGCTGTATCCCAATGCTTTGGCTTTCTCTGATTTGGTCACTGCGTCCAATTGCTTTGGATCACCAGCTAAGACGATTTTTGCATGAATCTTTTTACTTGACGTACATAAACCTATGAATGAAAAATATTGAAAAATGCACAAATCCACGTTACTTGGTGTTAGTTGAATGACCAATACCTGCAATCGGTATGAGGCACATGGTTTCGTGTGCACTGGCACACTCATCTATAAATACATAGCCAAAATGGTTAGGCCGCCAAACGTCCTCTATACGAGCTCGGGTCAGACACCCAGCTGATGCCAATGTGCAAATGAACACACGAAACTTATAAAGATACTTGAGCGATGGATAGAAAATGCCTTCTCTACTATAATTTGAATTCCGTGCAACGTTTCCGTTGATCTTTTCATTTTTGTATGACTTTGCGTAGAAGCGATACATTTGATCCTCTGCCAACACATTAATCAATCGCTCGGCGATCTCATCGCATGCAGCATTTGACATTGCACAGACAAGCACTTTCTGATCAGTGGTGCGCATAATCTGTTCAATGGCAGCTACCAATGTTCGCGTCTTGCCGGTACCTGGGATCCAAACGAAATTTTTAGGAAATAAAACATGAAATTTACTATGATTTCATAGCCGTTAGAATCGAATATACCCTACCAGGTGGTCCGAAAAGAATGAAAGGCAACTTATCCGTCTTGCAAATTATGTTTTCCACAGCAGACTGTTGCTCGGCATTGAGCTGGCTCAACATTGTCCCTTCACGTCTTTGGGAAAAGAAGAAAATGGAAATGGAAAATCATATTCTTGATCATTATCAAAAGCGAAAAAGTGAATATGAAAACATACTCAAGAATCGGTTTTTCTGCACTTTGTTCACCATTCAATGGGGCTAGATCGTCTTTTTTATATTGAAAATTATGTATCAATCGAGTGAATAAATGCTCTTTTTCGATAAATTCCAATGCAAAGTGTTGGAGTTGGAACGGCATACGATTTACGGTAAAAATGATATCGTATAATTGACCGTCATATGAATGTTGAACCTTATTGAATGTCTCCGGGAATATTTCGATATAGATTTTGCTATTTTTGACACGAAGAACTTGTCCCCATATTTCACTTTTCGCTTTTGCTCTTCCTTTTACTTTGACATTGGTTTCAAGCTTTGGTTTCAATATAAATCGATCAACCACATTTTCTTCGATTGCACCTTCAAATTCTGGATTCTGTGGTTGGAATAGACAGCAATACGATTGGTTAGCGTATGATTTGGGTTCGATTGAACAGATGTTGCTTACCGGGACGTCAAAATAAAACTGTCGATCCATATGATAGGTGATTTTAACGTTGGTTTGATTAAAAGTGGCCAGGTAACGTGCTTGTTCATCCTCTTCCAAATGTATCATTGTTGAATATCCATTGATGTAATCTTTCAATTTTGTTCGCAATTTTTCCTTTTGAAATAGTTTACTATTTTGTGTGCGATTGAGAAATATGCAAACAAATTAATTCAATTCTATTCGAATTTTATCTTTTTAACGCTCACCTGAATATCTCGTTGAGTTCGGTTATTGGAAGATGTCTATTTTTACCAATTGCTTTTATGTCATCAGGTACTGCGTACGATTTTAGGGTAAGCATATCCAACGGTCTATAAATAATGCAATCAAATTTAAAATGGAATCATTAAGTTGCAAATTTGTTGAACTTACGCGTCATATTCAAAATTCGATTCATCGTCATCCAATTCATTTTCATCTGCATTTGCCATACTTTCGTATTGATTGGATCGTAAACCGATAGACGGAAAATCCTTTTCCGCATAGATTTCCATGCAATCATCATGCTCTGATGAATGTAGCAAGGCCAGATCCACCTCTAAAACTTGACATGGATTGCTGTTTATAACATAGCGTCGAAATTGACTACAGGAATTTTTGTTCGGTGTCGCCTTTTGACCAGAAATGACGCAAACTTCACTCTGTTCATCAAATTGAACGGATTCAACGACATCCAAAGTCCGTGATTGTTTATTCACATCGATTCGGCTTTTACAAAGTCGAATTGCTGTGCCTGTATTCTTGTTAGTGCGAATCAACAGTTGCATATATTCCTCATGCAGCTTTCTACCGACAAACCAAATCTCATTCTCGTATTTAGCCAGAAATGGTTCGTTGACAGAGAATTGAATACGGACCAAGTTCAGCACTGCAAACCACAAATTGCTTGCGTTATTTGAACTCGATGGTTTTTGTTGCTCCACAATTCGCTGGACGCAGAGCCGATTGTGACGAACAACGATGTTGCTGGGATTGAACTCGAGGTCAATTGAAGCCTCTGAAATCCTTTTCAAATAGGATACTTCTTCTGTTGTTAAATCCAAATGGCCAATCTCATATTCGGTATCATTGTATTCGCACATCGGTTTTTGGTCATCGTCGATGAAAAATGTCACCGTGTGCGAAATATCCAATTCACTCTCTGAATCGTCGTCCCATGGAAACGTATCCGTTGGCGCGCTGACATATGTCAATTGCGGTTTGGAATCAGCAAACAGATTTGCGTAAAATGAATCGTCGTCACTGTCATCCGAATCGCTTGGAACACCATTTTCAGCTTGCGGTTCGATTTCGATAGCATGATTTTGAACACAATTCAGTGGGTCCGATTCGTCCGATTCATCCGACTTTTCCGCATTTTCATCAGTTTGGCCATTGGTTAAGTGTAATGTAGAGAAATCGTCTACTAATTCAGATGTTGATGGATCTGCTTGGCCTATATCAACAATATCCATTGTTGATTGACTTGAACCAACTCCGCCACTACACAATTCCTCGATTGCAGAAGATGAATCAACATTTTGCTGTAGAACGTTTCCAGTCTCTGCATTTTTCTTTTTTGATTTTATCGTCTTTGACTGCTCTTTAGTCACCAGTTGTTTCAACTAAAATGAAAAAGAAAGGCACAAAGTTAAGATAGTTTTGCAAACACAATCATTCACACTTCTTTGAGCTATGAACTTTTTTTTTCATGAAAAATCCAATATTCCTATCCAGTTACCCATCGAAACATTCCAGGCATTTTGTCGGCGATTTCGATGGAAATTTCTAATCGTTGATTATTTATAGCATATTCATCGACTATATCTAATCAATTATTATGAAATCTCCATCAGTTAATGTGAACACATTCAGCTACACAAACAACAATCGAAACAACATTGAACTGTCAGCTGCTTATTTGAAGAGCACAGTCAAACACAACCGCATGGTGAATGAAATGACAGAAAAACCGTAACGCAGCCTAACGCAACGTACATTGTGCTCCGCAAACACTCTGATTTGAAAACTGTACGACTTCAGCATGCGGTTTATATAGTGGTGCAAATTATGGGAATCGTTATACAAATAAAAAACTTTAAATTGCACCGAACAAATGATGCAAACGATTCGAAAAATGTTGAAATGATCAAGAATTTTTGAAGAGGAAAATTACCTTTCGTTGGAAAAAATTCATTTTGAAAGTTTTGACATTCATAGTGAACTTTGACAAAGAATATGGAAATGTATTCAGTTGCAACAGACGGAGAAAACAAATATTTGGATGTGCAAAAATGGAAACAATTCATGGAATTTGGAATAAATTTGTGCTGTAATATACAGTGTGATATGATATCGGACAGACTTTCGAGCAATGTACCGATCTGAGCTTCAATTTACCTTATTGTTGTTGACTTCGGGAACGCTTGATTTTTGTGCAGCATTTGGTTTCTTCTTCGAATCGATTACCAATGAAAATGTCCCATCGTGCATTTTAACCCACTTGGAATTGGTTGGGCGCTTGGAATTTTTCGATTTCTTCTTTGGCATGTTTTTGACATCAAACTAATTGAAAACTATGAACAGTTCGATTAACGAAACGACAATACAGTGTAAATTTTCACGTTTGAACCACTCAAAGCCAGATGTACGATTAAACGCGCAAACCACCTATACGACAAACCTAGATGAATATTTCAAATAGTATTCGTGTTACCACACACACACAAAGACAATAGTTCAATATTACAACGGCACTATGTATTTCCAAATTTGTGGCAGCAACCCGCTTGACTTTTATGTGAACGGTTGTAAAAGTAAACAAGAACTTGCACATTCAAAAACGTGCCAATAAATTTCTGTCTCGCTCTATCTCAGCTGAGTGCTCTTGCGATTCTGTTTAATGTGTTCGTAATACTTACTTTGCATTTATACAATTTTTCCACTTTGCAATTCTTTTACAAAAACTTTTGATCGATAATGCAAAAAATTAGTACTGGTCTACTTTATATTTTTTTTATTGCACTCGTCATTCCAATAAAAAAAAAGTTACATATATTATTTGAAAATTTGAAAAAGTTGCAAAAAGCCAGGCGAAAAGTGTTTAAAACAAAGTATTTGGTAAAATGCACTTCAAGCATTATTTAAAGTAGAAATTACGCTGGCCTTGTATCAAGCATCTATTTTTCATGCAAAATCTTATAAATACGGACCAATTCGGATCCTTGTACAATAAATGCGGGTCGCCCACGATAATTAGTAGACTTTGTGCACGAGTTAGCATGACATTAAAACGCTGTAAATAAAATGATTCTTATGTTAAGACTGATTTGTCTTGAAAAATAGAAATAAAAAGCCAAAAGAAACCTGTGCATTGCTCAGAAATTCCCCAAGATGCCTTTGTCCAGCGCGGACAGTTGACATGATCATTACTTTCCGCTCCTGGCCCTGAAAAACTTCAGCTGACCCAATTGTTATGTCAATGTATTTCATCTTATTACACTCCTGACGGATCTTTCTACACTGAAGCTTGTATGGAGATACAATACCAATGTCGGATTTGTCGACATCATTTTTCAACAGCTTTGCTATTAATTCCATAACCGCATTCACTTCCTCAAGATTGTATGAACTGATGGCAAACAAGAGAAGAGTTATTTCACATCTCCAATATTTTATATTTGAATGTATTTTCCAGTCTGTCTAACTTAAATCATGATTTCAACAAACCTAGTTTCATTCTCTGGACGACGACATATGCCTTGAATGGATCGAAAAATAATCGGAAACTTTTTCGATAGTAAGCCTTCAACATCAAGCTCAATGATATCTAATGGAGTCATAAAGCAAATTAAATTTCCCAATCACAAAAGAAATTGTTGGCAATTCTAAGATGCACGTACCAGGTGAGACCATTGCTTGCAGTTGATTCTCGTAAAAAAGTGTGTTGGGCACCTTTAAAATTGCTTTGTGGGAACGGTAATTTCGTACCAATTGCGTAATGTAAATTTTATTGAACTCGCCAGTTTGATCTTGGCGTTTGTAGAGTGGCATTTTGAACAGTTGCTCGAACCAAGAAATCTTGAATCCCATACTTGTTGACCAATCGGATTTTGTGACTGCATCCAATTGCTTTGGATCACCACAAAGAATGATTTTGGCGTGAACTTTCCCAATAGATGTGCACAATCCTGCAAGACGATTATATTTAGTTTAAAAGATTTAATTTCAGTTACCCAAACGGTTGCCAGAATGATTGAATAGGGATTGTTCATTACCAGCAATTGGAATCAGTGCCATAGTTTCGTGAGCACTGGCACATTCATCAATTATTACATAGCCAAAATGATCCGGCTTAAAGTTCACATTCACTCGGGCTCGGCTCAAACAACCAGACGTTGAAAGTGTACAGATAACCACACGAAACTTGTATATTTCTTTCAAGGCGGGGTACCTTAGTTCGTCATCAAATAAATTGCAATAAGGTTTGATTGTCGAACTGATTTTGTCCAAGTCGTAAGACGTCGAATACATGCGCATCATTTGGTCTTTGTTCAAAACTTGACACAGTCTATTCGCAATTTCATCGCATGCAGCGTTTGACTGAGCGCAAACCAAGATATTTTCTACTGTGGTTCGAACAATAGTTTTAATGGCAGCTACTATGACTTTTGTCTTGCCGGTGCCTTTAAAGGAATTGCACAGTTTTTATAAAAGTAAATAGCAAGAATGCAAAGGGTGAACATAATGCATACCGGGCAACGCAGCCAACTTCACGTTGGTTACTACTGAAACCCATTGATGCCCATTGACGTATGCTTGTGATTGAAAAACAAACAAACTAATGTTAACCAAATGAAAATTAGTTCCGGAAAAAAATTGGAAAAAATATATCCTGAAAGAGTACATTTTCTACTTAAATTTTAGCCAAACAATAAGCGGCAGCTTTCAACTATTCTCCACTTTCATTGGATTTCAACGGTCAAAGTGTATCTAATGTAATGTAAACTAAATGCAAGTGGAGACGATGTGTAAAAAATAGTGTAAAAAAACTTTTAAAATGGGAAAGGTTCTTTGGAAAAAAAATCGTAGGTTTTGTTTCGTTACAACAGTGCTTTAAAATGAATTCTTTTCAATAACTTCATACTTGCATTCTGATCAAAAAGCAAAGTTTTGTAGCGAAACAAAACCTACGTGTTTTTAAAAATTTGGCTCAATATAAGTAGAAAAGGTACTCTTCTAGGAAATATGTTTTCCGATTTTTTTTAAACTAATTTTTCATTTGGTTTTAGTTAACTTTAATTTGTTTATTTTTCAATCAGAAGCATACGTCAATCGCAACGCAAAGTGGCACAAACTTTTACCATTTTTCGCATACACACGTGTATGAACGCGATGATTAGATGCAGATAATGGGACATGCTTGTGCCACTTTGCGTTACGACTGACTGTAGTGGACCGGGCAACCGCTTTGACGTGGCTCTGTCAACAATGTTGCCCCATTTATTCACACTTTGCAATATAAAAGAATCCTACCAGGTGGACCATATAGTAAATATGGAATTGGGTGATGTTTGCCTTCAACAATGCAATTCACCGCTTGTCTTTGCTCAATGTTTAACTCATCATTATTACAATTGGTGAGAGCTGAATCGCTTGATGAACGAATTGAGCGTTCCTGTGTATGATACATCGGGTTATTTATCAAAATATCAAACAGTCCATGCTTCGTTATGTAATCGATTGCATTGTGTTGCAATTGGTAAACGGTTTGATTCAACTTGAAGGATATATCGTATAACTCATTTGTAGACGGCATTTGTTTTGGCGAAGTAAAGAGGTGAACGTATATCTTATTCGACTCCTTCCGATTGATTTTTCCGTCCCATTCTTCTCTTCCATACTTTGAGATAAGCTTGAATCGGTTGACCTGGCTGTCGTCAATTGCAGCAAGCAGCTCATCTGCACCGGGCTATGGAAATGCTACATTGATGAGATCGAAATTTGCTTTTAATTTAAAAAAATTAGTGAATAGTGTACCCCAAGAGTGATGCAATACTCCTTTCCACCGGTATGGCTAAGTTTCAATCTTTTTCGGTCGTATTGTCTTATTTTCAATTCGTCAACTGCCTCTTCAAAGAAAACCATCATATTGTATGCCTCAATGTAAAGTTTTAGCTCATTTCTGAAGCTTGACTTCTGTGCAATCGATGTGCTACAATTCAAATATCATATGATTAAAAAATATTCATTCATATGAGGGATGAACTATTCTTAATTCTATTTACTTGATATCATCCAGCATCTCCTGCGGAGTGTCTTCATCTTTTTGAATGTTCAAAATATTTCCGGGTATGGGATAGTTTTTCAACTGTTCCATTTGAAGAAATTGATGTTTTTTCTTACGCTCATCTTTTTCTGCATAGTTTAATATTCGTTTTTCGAAATATGTACGGTAAGATTGATAAGATTGCCTATAATATCCTGAATATCCTGAATGTCTCCCTGAGGAATAGCTCCCTGAGGAATATCTCCCCGAGGAATAGCTTCCTGAGGAATAGCTTGATGTGTTTGATGAACTGCGAGCCACAAAAAAAGCCGTACATGCTACTGCACATACAGCGGATGCTACACATACGAGTGCCGTTAGAAAACCCATTTAAAAAAATATTTTTTTAAACAAACTGACAAGTTAATTAAAGTGTTTTAATATCTAAAATCGAAACTGGTAGACTGTAAATAATCTGATGAAATATTAACTAGTTGTGTGAAAATGTTTATCCTATTGTCAAATCAAACTGTCAATGAATTATCGCGAATCTCCGGATGACAACGCAATCGATTCAAATGTCATATTTGCATTTAAAAATTTTGAATCCGTTATTTTCTGTTGAAATTCATTTATTTCAATGGAATTTCAAAAGCGATATTGAAAAAGCTGAAGAAACCGTTGTCAATGCTATTTCTAGTGAATCGCATGAGCCTGAAACTGAAATTAACAATATGTGAACGTCCGATGAAAGCATAAATCATGAGAAAGAGAAAAAAACACCGATTTGCTAACGCAAACAGAATTTGTAGTCCAAATAATGTTTATTGAGATGTAGCCTTGTGGACATGGAAAACTGCAACTTACGCATATTTCGATGATATTTAGAATTAGATTTAAGTTACAGTTGATCTAATTAAAAAAGAGAATGATCTCGGAAATTATGTGCAAGTTTGACTTTGTGTGAATCACGGCGTCGAATTTCGATCAAGCTTAGGTTGGTATCCATTGTTGCCCATTTTGTGGCCAAGTAAACATGTTCAGAAACATAGACTGTTACTTTTTGTGCTCCCTTCAGGTTTTTCCGTTCTTTATTCAGTGCTTTGATGTCTATTACGTTTTCTTCAAGCCAAACAATATCGATATCAACCAAATGCTGTGAATAACGAATGAACGGCAAAATGTTATCAACGGTAGATCTAGCAATTTGGTTTTGGTTTCGCTCTGCGTTTTCCTGTGAACTTTTAACTTCCATGACGTTTGTTTGGTTCATTGTGTGGTATCAATGCATGATTTGGAGTGTGCGTTGAAAAGATCTATTTGGAAGAAAAAAACAGACAGACAAAGGAATCAACCCAAAATATCTTGCAACAGTGCTTTATGATTCATATCGATTCTAAATTCAAACGTAATTTTGTACCTTTCATAGTGATTACATAATTATTTCGTCTGTGTGTTGAGTGCCGTTTTTTCACGCTAACAGTTCGACTGTCCTAAAATCTGCTGAAACATAAACACATTATTCGAGTAAAATTCTTTTTCTCTGATCAATTTTCAGCTTGTTATTCCATTTGAAAGCAAAACTGAAGGCCATATTGAATGCAAATAAGTGGTGAATTCTACGGTGTAAGTTGTTCTTTTCATCTGATGTGCAACAACAAAATAACCATTTGTCAATTGGTAATCTATAGTTGATTCAATTCGATGGCTCTCACACAAAATGATGATGCGGAAAAAAATGAACTTAATACCTACCTCAAATTACGATGTTTTCTAAGCAAGTGTCGAAACGATAAATGAAGCGCACAACGACATGATGAGTGAATCAATGTATTTAAAATGGTGATTTTGAGCGACTTGAAGTTGGTCAAGTTTCATAATATGTGTCAAGTTTTACATGTTGAATTTGCATATTTTCAACCCTTTTGGTTATGTTCGATGTTTTCATGAATGCCAAATTGGAAGAAAAAAATTCATGACTTTTTATTCCTTGAAAAAAAAAACACCAACCAATTTTTGTCTTACCTCTGTTTTCACAGCAATTGCACAAATTTTATAAAGTTTGATAGCAATAATGCAAAAGACCTACCATTAACAATGCAATTCACCGCTTACTCACTGTTTAGCTCATCGTTATTACAATTAGTAAGAGGTGATGTATGAAAAATTGAAGAAAATTTCATCTAAATTTCATATATAGTGTGACGCTTCTTTATATTTTGATTTCAATGAAGGTACTTTAGTTGAATATTTAAGTTTTAAATTATTCTTATGATTGTGTTATTGAATGGGCTTATTTGTTATACAAAATGAATGAATTAATATGGATAGCGATAAATGCTCTGTATCATAGCCTTATTCTCTAGACAATATTCAATTAGCCGATTCCAATTTGGGTCATACTGTAAGGAATGTGGATCACCGACAATGATAAGGAGGCACTTGGCACGAGTTAGCATCACATTAAAACGCTAAAATACAATCACAAAAAAAAATTTCAATAAAGAAATGATTATTGAATAACGTGTGTCAACTGATACTTACACGAGCATTGTTGACGAAACCCAAACGACTTCCACCAGATCGAACCGTCGACACAATCATAACTGGTTTCTCCTGTCCCTGAAAAGCTGTGAAAAAATCGTAACATTACAAAATATGAGTACGGTCATAAGGTCCAACAAATGCCTGAAATAAATAGTATTCAATTTATGTGGGTGTACCTTCTGCCGTGCCAATGGTGATTTCATCGAAATCAAAACGATGGCAGGCTTGTGCAATCTTACGTCGTTGCATCTTATACGGTGTGACCACTCCAATGTCGGACTGCGAAATTTTCATGCAGTGAGTGAACGTCGGCGATAGTAGATTTTTGATGAACTCAATCACAGCCATTACTTCCATAATGTTGAATAAGCTGAAAAATCCCAACATGAGAACATATTTCTCACAATGTGCAACTTATGTGGTCGTGTACCTTTTATTCACCTCCGATCGCTCAACATTGTATGATTGAACCGATTTAAAAATGATCGGGAAACGTTTGGACGGTAACAGCGGAGAATTTACAAACCAACCAGTAACGTCTATGAATAAAAAATAATTTGTGAGTTTCAATAATCAAATCAATAAGAAATTCCAATCTCACCTTCTGATGCCGTCGGTATTAAGGAATTGTCGTAGAACAACTCATTTGACAGCTTCAAAATCGTTGGATGTGAGCGATAGTTGCGAACCAACTGTGTGATGTAGATCTCGTTAAATTTCTTCGTTTTATCGTCGCGCTTGTACAATTGTCGTTCGCACAAGTGTTCAAGATACGATGTTCGAAAGCCCAATTCCCTAGCCTGTTCGGATTTGGTAACCGCATCCAATTGCTTTGGATCACCGGCTAAAATGATATTGGCATGCACTTTGTTGGCTGATGTGCACAAACCTAATGGAAAACCATTGAATATATTGAAACATGAAGATGAATGTAAAAAATCGGATTAGAAATCATAGAAGAAAATATTGACAGTACCCGCTATCGGTATCATGGTCATCGTTTCAAAGGCACTTGCACTCTCATCGATGAACACGTACGAAAAATGTTTTGTCGAGATGCCAGCTCTCGTCAAGGTACCTGGAGAGAAAAAAAAACGTCTCGACTAAATAAACAGTAAGATACGAAAATTAATGGGCCAATCTTTTACCAGCTGTGCACAATGTGCAAACCAAAACGCGAAACTTGAGTAAAAATTTCAAATTTGGATAGTGAAACTCAGTGCCGGTCCAGTTACTGTACGGTGCTAGCAATGAACTTAATTTGCAAACATCAAATGTTTTGGCATACAATCGGAATAGCTCCTCTTCTCCCAGAACAGTGGTCAAACGTGCGGCGATTTCATCGCAGGCCGTGTTTGATTGCGCACACACCAACACATTTTTTGAGGTTAAGAGAACGATTTGTTCGATGGACGCTACTAATGTTCGCGTTTTTCCCGTTCCAGGCGGACCAATCTGCAATATTTATCAAATCAATTGATTAAAAATGACAATTCAGAATATTGATTATGATTATAGGCAATTTTCGGCAAAAGTAATTTACCAATATGTACGGCAATGGATAATTTTTGGCATACACAATGTTTTCAACGGCTGATTGTTGCTCCGGATTCAGATGAAACATGGAATCACGACTGAAACATCACAGAAACCATCATTAAATTGAGTAGATTTTTCGCAATCTTTGGACTTTTCTTTACCTTAGAACAATATCATCGGGATTCCCTTTGGATTCGAGTTTTGCAATGTCATCATAGCCTGGATTGTTAATCAATTGATTGAACAAACGATGATCATGCATAAGATCCAATGCATAATGTTGCATTCGAAATGACAACCGATTGAAACGGAAGAATATGTCGAACGGTTGATTTTTGTAGACTTTTTTAAATGACACATACGATTGCTCATACAATTCGATGTAAATCTTCTCCTCATCTTTCCCCTTGATTGAACCGAAATAATTTTCCAGCCATGATTCATCGTTGGTAACGGGCTTCAGTCGAAGTGCGTCCAATAAGTTTTCTTCGATTGCCGCACTAATTTCAGCCATACGATCCTATAGAGAAAAATTTGGGATTTAGTCACGAATATCAATATGGTTGAACGATCGGAAGTCGATATTGCTTACTTCATTCAAAATGAAGAAGAGACGACCGGTGCCAGCATAGAAAATGCGCACTCCAGTTTGATCGAATGTTTTCATGAACAGTGTTTGGGCGGCTTCTTCCAAGTGAATCATGGTTTTGTAGCCTTTGTAGTAGTCTTTCTGCTTTTTGCGACACATTTCGGTGGAAAAGTTCAGTTTCAATGGTTCGTTGTTCTCTTCCGAATGCCATACCTCCATTGGCACATTATAGTTTGGTATTGTGCTCATCACCAATCGCCTATAAAAAATAGTCAAATTAAAATCACCGTTCGATTCGGCCGAATAGCATGCGAATGAACACCACTCACTCTGCGGTCATTTCATCGCGACGCTTGATTTGTTGACGCTCCCTGTAGCTGAGCCCATTTTGCAGTGACCGAATCGGTTTTAGAATTTTAATCGGCGAATTGAAAATGCTTGCAAGTGTTTTTGCCGGTGAAAATGCGGTTTGTTTTTGTTGAGGGGATTTCAATATGATACCTGCTGCAAAATTACCATTGATATCGGGTGAACCCAAGTTGGGTGAACCTTGTGATAATGAATCTAATTCAGAACCAATCGATATATCGCTCGTATCGGATTCAGTATTCGATTTTTTCGAACCAATTGTCAAACACAATGTGCCGTCATCGTTTTGCACCCAGCACGCGGTTGACACAGAACGCTTTGATTTGGATTTTCTATTTTTCATTTTCGTCGGCATTTTATTACTTTTTTCCCCTAATGATCCTAAATTTTCTAATGAATTATGAATAAACTATCAACTTTATTAACTGTTTCAACACGACTTTAATTCAATTAACTTATGATAAATAATGGACAAATAAAAAAAAAACACGAAGTCAAATCGCTGAAAAATTGGCTTGATGGAACGGTAAAAAATGAGCAACACTGAACTGAGAACAGCGATCAGTATAAACAAACTGAACCGAAATTTGTGCGCACTGTGTGTGACATACGCGTTGACAGTCGGATAACACACTCAATACTACAACGCAAATGCATTTGCTGTTTGAACGTTGTGAAAAAGTGCGAAACTTGAAAGTGTTGAAATATATAGAATATCATATTCGAAGCAAACATCACGATGCTGTGTGTGAGTGTATTTATAAAAATATATAAACAAATACAAAAACAAAAAGAAATGTTTCTAGTGTTTTATGAAAACGCATTCATTTATTAATACTGACTAACAGAATATTGTTTGAGAAACATGAGTTTGTTTCCTTTGACCATCGATAAATAAATTATTTGTAACGTTGTCGTTTCGTTTCAACCATTCGGTTGTGCATTGGAATCGAAAGGGAATGTTGTTTAAAAGTGTCACTCGTAACGCTTATCTTTCGGTTTAGTTGGTTGTAAGATTTGTGTAGGGTGCTGACACACATGACACCCACAATAAAACTTATAATGAATGTTAATATTGGTTTGTTTTCTTCGTTATTCCTCTTGAGTGCGATTCAACGGCATGCAAGCCGTTCAATTATATACTCGGGTATCGATATCGGCTCTGAACCAATGCATTGTTCTCCAAGCAAAATGTGATGAGTTTTCTCCAATTCGAGCAATACTGAAGCAAATGTGGATCGCCAACGATGACAAGTAAACACTTGGCTCGTGTAATCATCACGTTGAATCGCTTAAATTAAACAGAGATTGTTTTGTTAATTAATTGATACATTCAACATTATTTTTTCGTATACACAACATACCCGAGGATTATTAACGAAACCGAGTTTGTTTCCACCAGATCGAACCGTTGACACAATGATGATCGGCCGTTCTTGTCCTTGGAACACTTCAGCGGTGCCGATTGTAATGTCATCTAAATTGCCGCGATGACAGGCTTGTGAAATGCATCGTCGTTGCATCTTATACGGTGTAACCACTCCAATGTCGGACTGCGAAATTCTTTCACCATTCTTCAACTTCAGCTTTAGCAATTTGTCAATGTACTCCATCACCATGTTCACTTCATTCGTATTGAACATGCTGGAAAAAATATTGAGAGACATTTTCACTTGAAACTACTTTGGCATACAAATTCAGGTATACAACTTTAAAGGGTACCTTTTATTGGCGTCAGATCGTTCGGAATTCCCCTGAACGGACCGAAATATTATGGGGAATTTTTTGGAAGGCAATAAAGAATTGTTGACAAACCAATTGGTAGCATCTGAAAGAAATTATACAGTCGAAAAAAAAATATTATCGCCATAGAACTGTATTTTACGTCATAAACGTACCATCTGATGCTTTAGCCAATAGTGTGCCATTGTAGAACAGCTCGTTGGGAATTTTCAAGATTGACTCATGCGAACGATAATTCCGGATGAGTTGTGTAATATATTTTCCGCAAAATTCATTGGTCTCGGGATCACATTTGTATAACGGTCGTTCGAACAAATGTTCCATGAAAGACGTTCCGAAGCCCAGTTTTTTGGCTTGATCGGATTTGGTAACGGCATCCAATTGTTTCGGATCGCCAGCCACAACAATATTTGCATGTACTTTACCCGTTTCTGTGCACAGACCTATTTAAAAATCATCTTTTATAAAAAGAAAAATTGTCCAATGGAAATGAAATTTTATAACGATTCTCACCAGCGATTGGAATCAGTGCCATCGTTTCGTGAGCACTGGCACATTCGTCGATGATCACATAGGAAAAGTGTTTCGGAGATATGTTTGCCCGCGTCAATGTACCAGCTGTGCATAGTGTACAAATTACTACGCGATACTTCATTATGAATTGCAATGGTGGATAGTGAAATTCTTTTCCGATGCGATTACTGTATGGCTCTATGTCCGATTTTATTTTATGCACATCATAGGACAGCGCATACATGCGAAACATTTCGTCTTCAGTCAATGCCGGAATCAAACGTGTCGCGATCTCGTCACATGCTGCATTAGACTGCCCACACACCAACACATTTTTGTCGGTCAATCGAACGATTTTCTCAATCGCAGCAACTAGTGTTTTCGTTTTGCCGGTACCTTTGATCAGAAATACATAATATTTACGAATGACACATGGTGAAACTGTTAGGTAAACGAACCTGGTGGACCGAAAAGAACAAATGGTAGTGGTTTACTAGTCGCATTTACAATACTTTGAACTGCTAACTTTTGCTCTGGATTCAATTTCAAATTGGGACTGAAACTTTTTTCAAACAATAGCATTATTTCGGTGATTCAATTCCCAAGTGATTGTGAAAATAATAATATTTTTTATGCTCACTCAATCAATATTTCAGGTGGTGTTTTGGATGAATTTCCTGTTTCATCATATTTAGGATTGTTAATCAAAGCAGTGAACAGACGTTGTTCATTCAAAATATCAAGTGCAAAGTGCTGCAACTGATACGGAGTTCTGTTCAAGCAAAATCTGATATCAAAGGACTGTTCCATGCAAATCGAATTGAATTTCGAAAAAGATTCTTCTGACATTTGGACGAAAATCTTCTCGGCTGACTTTCTCTTTATTTGTCCGGAATAGCGTTCGACCGTGAAAAAATCACTTTTTTTATGCGGTTCCAAAACAAAGCAGTCCAATAGATTTTCATCAATCGCCCCATTAATTTCCGCCATTCTTTTCTGTGGATAAGGTATTTACATTATTGTTAAAACCAATCGAATTTTGTTTGTTGTTTTAAAAAAAAATACCTCTTTCATAAAGTAAAAGATTTGATTTTCACCGGTGTAGGAAAAATCGACATCATCCTGGTTGAATGACTGCACAAATAGAGTTTGGGCAGCTTCCTCCAAATAAACCATCGTTTCATATGTTTTCACATAGTAGTCGGCTGAACTGCGACACTTTTCGATTGGAAAGCCAAACCGTAATTGTTTTCCTGTCTCTGCAGAATTCCAAATTTCCTTGGGTATATCATACGAAGGCAGAGTGCACATTTCGAGTTTTCTGGTAATATTTAATTGAATAAATTTTTTTCCATAAAAAAATGTAATTTTTCGCATATTTTTTCCACCCGTAGATTGTAACTCACCCCCTCTTCATATCAATCAAGCGTTGAATTTGTGCAATATCGTCATTTGACTTGTTTTCTACCTCATTCAAAGTCATTTCTTCGAATTGAACTGTATTGGCGTTTTCATCGGTGGTATATTTTCGAGCAGATTTACCACTGTCTGGATTCAGAAGTTGTACCCAGCTGTTCCCTTTTTGCGTATTATCCGGCTTTACTTTCGATGCTACCGCTATGGAATGTGTTCCATCTTTATTTTCAACCCAATTGACAGTCGACACATTTCGGCGATTCTTTGCTTTTTGCTTTTTTGACGGCATAATCGATCAATAAAAATCACTTTTCATAAACTTTTCTTTGAATTGGTATTATATTTTTTTTTATATATGATATCGGACAGCACTCTAATTTGGAACGATGCACAAGCTTCAGATGAAATGAATATAATCATGTAATGATCAAGCGAGTGACTTCATTACTTGAAGACTTTGTCGCTTCTGAATATGACTTTTGATTCACAGCAACTACGTCTACAGTTAGCCTACTGCGTTAAACTGTAGCAACAACAGATAAATCTGTTGGCATTCGATCCCGTTCAGCATAAAATATAAACAATAAACAATATTGTCTCCTCTGCTTCTTCTTACTTTCTTACAGCAATCGCCTCATTAACCAGGCTTTGTTATGCGCTAAATCCATCACGCTGAATAAATTCATGCGATAGATTTATGCGATAAATGTGATGCGCTCGCTTTGCGGTGAACGAAGTCTGTTGCTCTTCAGTTATTCACGCATGAACGTTCATGCTTTGCAGTGAACGCATCGCTAAGCGGTAGTGAAGAGCAACCGACTTCGTTCACCGCAAAGCGAGCGCATCACATTTATCGCATAAATCTATCGCATGAATTTATTCAGCGTGATGGATTTAGCGCATAACCAAGCCTGTCATTAACTAACAGAAGACGAAAGCAATGCTCAAAATGTATACACTTTTAATATATTAGGTTTCCGTGTATTCATCAAGTGCCTTTGATTGTGTTTGAATATTTCCAAGAATTTCACGTCATGCAAGCGATTCAAATCACACATACAGTTTGCATATAGTGATTTGTAGTGAACATTTTATTTGATGAGTATGATATATTAAATTTGAAACCAAAACTGTATTACTTTTATTTCAAAATTTATATGCATTTTCTTTTTCTAGCTTTGGTGCTGATTATATTGCTGATAAGTTAATAATCACAAAGATTCGGGCGATAGACTTGGGCGATGCGTCGCTGCGTCATCTCAGCCAGCCGAATTATCTCGTTCAGTTATCCTATGAGATGCTGAGAGCGATATCGCAATCACTGGTAATGTCCGTTTCATTCTGATTTCAGAATATTCACAAACAGAGAAGAAGGATTGAAATTTTTTTACGAAAAAAAAAATCAATTAAACCTGAAATCTCAACAATTCTTCCCTGTTCGCATAAATTTAAAAAAATTGATTTCAATAGAAAATGTAATATCGACATCAAAGGAATAAAAGGAATATTTTCATTGTATGATTCTATATTTATGTTCTAAGCTGTAAAATAGCATTTTATGGATAAATCAAATATACAATGGAATATTCACACACACAAAAAAAACATTCTAAAAATATATGCTAATTGGATACACACTAATTGCTTGAAGTTGAATTCCCTCCAGGAATGCACATGTTTGCGAAAATGATTGTGTTATTATACAGCTAAACCAAATCAAAATCTTCAGAAATACGATAATTGCCCGCTTTTTTTTTCGTAACGTCAAAGTGTATTATTACCGCGTTGATGGGTAATGGGCATAAGTATATACGGTTCCCAAGGGAAAGCTACTGCTGAACTTATCATTCACTCTATTCATTCAGCATGCTCATAAATACGCTAATCATCTGTTGAAACTCGGCCTTCAGTGAAAAAAACTGATATTTAGAATACGTTGGAAAGTGGATTAGGATGATGAATCCAAAAAATATCTGACAAAAGGGCCCTTTATATTTATACTCGTTTGCTCTGCATTAAATCTGCACCGTGTAATGTATATATACGTTACTGTCTACAATGTACAAAAATAGAAAGAAAAATCCCAGGCGTTTGCCTTTTCAATAGCTTTTATTATAAATTTATAATTTTATTTGCCTCCTGAGCGCAATTTAATTCAAATTACAGTATGTCTGTTGTGGGGAGAGTGTTCAGTTCATATTTATTGATTTACAAAAGAAGAAGTGGTGTTATATGTGATTGTTTTTTTTTTTCATTTTTGCGATAAAAAAAACCAATTAAGAAGTAGCAAATCATAGATTCTTCACAGCCGAAGCGCACAAATTGGCATTAGTTCCTGCAAATGGAAAGTAAGAGAGTTATGATTTTATTAGGGCAAATGAGTGAAAATTCGATATTTCATTTTCCAAGAATTACCTGGGCAAATTGCAAATTTCGCAACTGCTGAGTTCGCCACGATTGATGAATGTACAGTGGTTACAAGTCCAATCTGCTGCTGCTGGTTTCGAGTCTGTGTCTGGATAATGTTCCATGCCGCTGTTACAAAAGCAATAGAGAGAATATTATTAATTAGGTTAAGAAGAAAAAAAAACGGAACGAGAGAAGATTTTCCATTGGTAAATTTAATAATGAAAACGGAAATGTACCCGCTGGCCGAGCTCGAGGCTGTGATCAATGTTTCGAGTGTGCTCCATACTTCTTGCTCTTTCCATTGCACGGCGGCCGCATAATTCTTCGTGCGTACTGCTTCTAACAACGGACCCATGGCCGATTTCATTGGCAGCATGTCCATGAAGTATAAATAAAGCAAAAGATGAAAGTCAGAGATTGCCTCAAGAAATTCGTTTGGTGCCCATTTCGAGATGTATGCGCTAAGCGCATTAAAATCCTGTAGTTGACCGTCGATATAGCGATTTTCCACAGGGAACATATCCTTTGTGTCGCGTGCAGTGAATGTGTAGATCGGTGTGAGTGGTGTAGACGCAGGTACATCAACTAACAAGTACTCGACTGGCAATGGTCGTGCCAAGCGCGATACCTCATTGCCATATTGATCTTTCACCTGTAACGAGATAAACAGAAAATGCAATCAGTTTCAACCGTATAAAATTGGATATATATACATAGGGAGAGGGAGAATAAAATGTGGAAAGAAAAAAATGGAATCAAATTCAACGGGTAAAATGATGACGTGATGATGGGGTGAAAAATGCATGAAAAACGAAAGAAAAAAAAACAAACTCATCACTCATTCAATTCAATTTCATCAAAATCGATTTCATGCATCAAATCATACTTCCATTTTCCATCCAATTATGATCATAATTTGAATAGTTCAAGTGCTATACGACCATCAATGCACTCTGTGTACGCGTTTCACGTGCATCGCAATTCATAAACCGAATGACTAAAAGCTGATGAAATATTTCAAACACAGGAAGAAATCATATACACGGCTACATTACGTCAAACTGACGTAAATTAGGTCAGCTTATGTATTAGCAAATCCGTTGCCTTTACTTCCGTTTCTAAGCCGCGATTTTTCTCGTCTTCTTTTCTGCTCTCTGGCTCTTCCTTCATCATAACAATGTTTTGATGTTGCTCTCCGTTGTTGAAATTCTCTAAATATTACCATCAATGTGTTTTTTTTCTCTCTCGTCTCTTTTGAGCCGTAAAACGAAGCGTAAACGGCATATAGTTAAAGAGAAGGTCACAGACGTACGAAGATGGAAATAGGGAAAATATGCGTTCTGTAAATCAGGTCATGGTCAGGTTAATGGGGCAACTGAATTAAGCGCACTCTAGAATTTTTTTTTATCGTTGCCACGAAGAGGAAAGAGAGAATAAAAACTACAACTTTCAATATAGAAATGGGAAGGCACTCGTTAACTTCATAAATGCGATAAAATCTTGCACTCTAGAAACTCTCTAACGGATGTTATAACATTTTCAGTTGCCGTTATTCTGAAGTGCCCCGATGGAAAATATTTACGAGTGAGCATAATCTTTGTTGCATATTCAATGGGATAATCCAACAAAGGACGGATTTCGAGTTACATAGCAAAATTCAAACGAAGCGTCAAAACCGGCGATTGTAGTTGTAAATTGAGGAAATAATTCCAAAAGAACACAAAGTACTTCGCTGTATGAAGGTCAATCACCATACACACACATTTCTGGTACAGATAAGTGAATCATTTCAATTTTCACACAGGCGACCATCTGAACGGAAAAATTCCGTCAACAAAAACGCAAGATTTTGAAACATTTACGACTCTTTAAACATAGAACGAAAGAAGATTTATTGATTTCAAGTAACTTAAATCCGAGAGGAGTTGTAGTTCTTTTTACTTCGCCTAGCAACAACATCAATGGTGGTCAAAGTCAAACTTTAGATGTTCGCTTCTTGTTCCATTCTATTCAACAGTTTTATTGAATAGTAGTAAAAACAATCTCATTCAAAGTTCATTTAGACGCTTGTGATTCGAGTGAATGGTGAACATTCAAATCTGTACACCGTGTACTTTGTAATGTTAGCCCATTGTATTCATTAAACGTCATGTATATAATGATATTGAAATGATACGTTTGCAAAACTGTATCCATGCTGTTAATGGTGTGCTCAACGCTCATACAACTGACTTTCAATAATCAACCTTTAAACTGAGTATAATCTGTATGGTTGTAGCTGAGATGTTGCTTCATCGGTGCTGCCTTACGCACCATTAAATTTATTTTGCCGAAAAATGTACATATACACGTTCAAGGTGAGCATTAAATGTCGTGCGCATTGTATGATTTTTTTTGCTATCTTTTTGTTGATGACTTGCATGATCTTGTAGTTGATTGGATACATGTGCTTGTTAGCTGTATAGAACACATTGTTCGAATCAAATAATTTGATCATAAAATTTTATCGGATACATTTTTTTGGGAGGAAATTCGATTTGTGTTTTTTTTTGTCACATCATTGCGAAAAACCATCGCATCGCTCGAATCTAATTTTCTAAATTGGATTTTTTTTTTGGTGTGCGTTCCAAATGCGTTTGGAAATGATGTCGTGTGCTGTGAGTCATCATTCATTTTAAGTGTGGGTAAAGTGATTTATTTGTCATACTTTTCCTTCCGGTGAAGAGAGCAGACACACACGCCCAAATTCAATCTATCAAATGGTGACGCTCGAAATGGACAAAACTTGTAACTGATAGTTGATAATCACGTTCGATCAGATTAACGATTTTGAAAAGTAAACGGTTTTTGTTGAAAACATTCTATCCCCTCCGTAATTTAGTATTTAGGTGTGTGTATATGAGCCACCATCGAAATTCATTGAAGACCTGTTTTAATTAGTAGTTTGAATGGCCTTCATTTGTTTTGTTTTTTTGGTGTTGATGACAGACAATATTGCATTTTCAAGCTCGGTGAAAATTGGTGAAATTATAACATGAATAATTCAACGAAAAACCAACAATGAATTTGGAGTAAGTTAAGAAAGGACCGTTGTCCGTAAATCCTTCTATTTGCCAGTGGAATAGAATGGAAATTTAGAGAAAAAGCGCATGGAATGAAAGAGCACTCACTTTGAATAGACACACACACACACACACACACCAGATTCGGAGCATTTTCCATCATCATATTGTGACCGTTCGCAACCACTTGAAAGCAGCTGGAGTTCAAGGCTAATTTTCACATGAACTACGCTCACCACACACACAACACACCATTTGGGACTGTGCTGTTTCAAGCATTCAAGTCAAAAGCATGTTCGATAAAATTACAGTGTGAAGCAAGATTACACCAACAAAGAGTTATGCTTTGCGCTCGTTTCGTCCTTTGAAATGAATTTTTGAAAACATTTTTACAATGTAATTTCGATCTGAATAAAAGGTTGTGAATTAATCGAGTGTTGCAATGCACGCGCTGAATGTGGCAAATGTTTATCAGATTGCACAGCTGATCCAGCCACATTTTCGCCATTCATCAGTTCGTTTTTTTCGGAGTTTTTTGTTTGTTTCGTATTTATGGCAACATCAAAACCACATGAAACAAAAGTATAGACCCGTATCACTGGCAAAAAAGCTTTTCTCTACATTTTAATTAAAATAACAAGTGAATGAGAGACAGAGAGAAAAATGAATGGCGAAAAAACCAAACAATGCGAAAAAAAATGCATCAAAAACATTCAAGCATTTTACTTGGAAAATGATTTATTTTCATTGCTGTCGCTACCAAACGGTTGAACGGTCCTAGCGTTCGCAGTGTCGATGAGCTTTTGACCTTTTTTCCCACACACATTGTACTTTTGTACTTGAAGTGAACAGTGGAAACATTGTTTCGAAATGTGTTCGAGCAGAAGAGCTTGCACTTTCTACATGGTTCTCTTATACACACAAGCAAAATTCCATTAAAAATTGAAGCAAAGCTTTTCCCAACTGTTTTTTCTATTTCTCTCTCTCTCTCTCTCTATTTAACAAACACAAAAGTGGTTAGTGTATCACAGTCTACAAACACACTGAACGCACGAAGGATGGAAAAATGCTATATAGCATTTTCCATATCGTTAACTATGGTATAATAATGGATGAATATGTGCCTAACGTTGTATTTCCCATGGAGCAATGCGTCCTGTCATGTATTCATGCATACATAGGTACATTATGTGTATCGATGGTAAAAGAGAGAAAAAGAGACATTTCATTTTGCCATTCAGATCTATATAGAATGCCATATTATTTATTTGACCTTGAAATTTTGCCTGTTCCTCATCGTACTGTTTCGCAACGCAAACGCTCATATCTCTATTCAGCAGTCCTTTACCGTATGGCACATTGAAAAAAAACGAGAGAATCGACGCGGAGACGAAAAAAATGTTGAAGCCAGCAAGAAAAAAAAAACAACTTTTGCCAGGCAGGCTGTAGCACGCAGTTGCGTGTGTAGATTAATTTCCTTTCGAATGATGAAAACACAGTTTGCCACATACATATACGCATAGGCGCGTAACAAATATAGGCTCGCAATAATACCAAAAATAGAATTGTGCGCGTTGTCCAATTTTTTTTTATTATACTTAGAGATTTTGTCTTTTGATTTTTCATGCTGTTTGACTCCAGCTGTTCGCTTTTTAGAATCATAAATGGGGCATAAATATATCAAAGCAAACCAGAGAGATATCCTCTAAATTTGCTCACATTTTGACATTGGGAACAATTGATTTCGCAGAAGAAAAAACCATTTAGTCATACATTTAATTTAATCATCTTTTGAACTCGTCAATGAGCAACCTCATTATTTGTTGCCTTCAATAAATCGATCTATCTGTTCGTAAATTATTGGCTTTTTTCTCCGTCAATTTTCCAGTATTAAATTTAATACTCTAATAATATCTGTAATTTGCTTAACACTTTCTCAACGGTTGGATATCAATACAAAGCGATTGGCGTGAAAATACGATTATATTGTGCGATTGGCGTTTTTTTTCTCTCTCTATCTCTCGCTCTCTTTCAAATGAAATCACAAAAATGCAAATCGAATCGTAATTATTGTTAATTTCATGCGAACGGTAGCACAGTACATAAAAGTGCATAGCGAAACCCATGCAAAAAAAAACGCCTAATCTAACTTGAATCGTGCACCGTTTGTGGCATTTATATACGAATAAAAATAGATAAAAAAATCAAGCCTCGGGATCATGCTGTCGCTTTCGAGCGTATGTGGCACAAACGAACCACACACTGACACATTTACACGTATACATAGGGAAAATTGGAAAAACTTGTAGCATTAAATGTACCAAAATAATGGTTTATTTGCTACTATCTTTAGAGGCTTACATACTCTTCAAGGGATTTACATAAGCATGAAGACAGAGAAGAAAGAAAAAACCAATTGAGCTTCCTGACACACTGAAACAAAACATCAGCCCAACACATGCGCACACACACACATAACCATACTGGTGATGGGCTTTTTCTGCAGTATTTCACCCCGCGTCCTAATCGAAGCACGAGAAGCGCACTTTCCAGTGAATACGCTTTCGGCTATGCTTGAAAGCACGCACAT